TGCTTGCCAAAACTTCTCCTTTTTTTCTTGTATGTTTCTGTGTAAAATTCCACAGGAAGGCTAGGAGTGTCTGCATTAAACTTTGCATCACCACAAAAATTATTTGTAAATGGAGTGACCTTTTCAAAAGAAAACATTAGCTGCATTGCTGTGCATGTGGGCTGAGTTGTTTGTGGAATTTTGTGTGTTATTACTCATTCTTTGTGGTTGGTTTGGTTTTGGTTAACATCTTTCTGAAATCTTCTCCAGAAGTCCAAGCTTACATCCCCAACCCCAACTGCTTGTGACTTTGACCTTAAAAAGTGATTCTAAACATTAGTCTGGAGATACCAAGTGAAATAGCCCTGTTTAGAAAAGTGAGTAATTGTCCTCAATGCACTGTATGGTTGAGCATGTCCTTAACTATTTGGAGATCTACAACAGTTTGTTATAACTTGAAAACAGCTAAACAGGATGCCTTGGTGAGGCTGCAATGACCAGAATCACAGGCGGCAAGGTTTTTCATTCAATATTGCAAGGTGTAACTGGTCAACGTTGTGTACATCAAAACTCAAGATTGACTGAGGCTTCAGTACAACCTACTTCAATTACACTAGTGTGCCCTAGTGGACTTTTGCTCAATCTCTTAGAGATGGTAATCAACTCTGTCAACAAAATGGTAAACTGAAAGAGCAATTACGACGGGTCTGATCTCTCCATTCTGAGACATGTTTTTTTCATGTACTTGTTGTTTCATGTTGTGTTGAAGGAAGAAATGATTGGTCAAGCCAAATTATATTCCAACTAGATTTCCATGAATGCAGTGATGAAAGCCTCTACAAGATCTTAACAGTCAGCAGCCTTCAATCCAGTTCATGGTAGTCAAAGCAAGATCAAGTCATAAGCGATGTTTAGGTCAGCTTTGTACGAACGAAGGACACCATTAGTCTAGCGAAACAAGATGGCATGATCTTCAGAGTGTAGCAAAGTATACATGAGGAAGAGTTTGTGAGCAGAGCAAGAGAGGACAAGAGAGTCTTGATTGCGAGAACAGCCAGGGAGTTAAGCAGAAACAACAGCTTGGAAGGGAGTTCTGGAGAATAGTGCAAGGCAGTGAGGAAAATCTCAGAGAAGAAGAAATGACAAGTTGCAGTAATCAAAAAGGAGAATGGTGGGGTAAGTAAACAAAAAGATGCCTGACTCTAATAGGGCTGAATCAACAATGTGGAGGTATTTGTTACAGAGGGTGTGACGACCCAATTGAAGAGCACAAGGTGGAGACAGATAAAATTGGCAAGATGAGCGCGACCCATTTAAGAGAAGCAGAGGTGAGGCCAGTGCTGAAGAAAAATAGTGGAAAGGCACCCAGAAATTGATGGGCACCTCATGATGAGTTGGGAGCTGTAAGTGAAAGGCCAAAAGGTTGGCACAAGACCCACATAAATGGAAGACAATAATGGATGCCCTATTCTCCCATGGGACAGAGGATTAGATGACGAGAAATTGATGAGATCACAACTGGGTTGTAGAAAACAGATAGCAGTGTGGTAGTAAAAGAACTGACAAGATTATTTAACAAGATATGACATGAGCAGGTACCAGACAAATGGAAGAAAGGATGGATACTTAAGCCACTTCAAAAAGATCTGAAGGAGTGTAAAAACTGGCAGGTGTAATGCAGCTAACTGCAGATAGGAAAGTAACGGTGGTAGTCATTAAGAGGATCCAACACTGAGTAGATAGTGCCCTTGAAAAGAAACGAACTGGTTTTTGAAAGCACAGTCAAACAAACATTTATCCTCCACAAAATCATGGAGCAGGTCGATGAATTTTGTCAATGCACTGCCAAGGGCCATGGAGAATCATGAACGCCAGTGGCATCTTTTATAAGAATGGTAAAGATCAGGCACAATGACTTAGAGTGCACAGTACTTGTTGAAGGAGAACAGACAAGATGGCTCAAGATCACCACTGGTGTTTGAAAAGGTTGCATTCATGTCAGGGTCCCTGTTGTTGCTTGAGGTTGACTACATGATTTCAAGAACAACCGAAGCCCAAAGAAATGACTCAAAACAACTCTTAAAGATTTTGATTTTTCTGACAGTATAGTCTTTGCTTCATTAAAGTACAGAGCAAGACTGGCTGGTAGAATATGCAGGAAGAGTGGGACTGAAGCTGAATGGTGGAAACTGGAAAGTGATGAGAGTGAATGAACAGAGAGAAGGTAGAAGATTGAAAATGAGGAAAGTGGAAGACATGAAAGAGTTTGTGTAACTAGGTGCGACTGTGACCAAGGATGGCGGAGGCATGGATGAGATCAAGAAACATCTAAACAAGGCACATGTTTTTTTTCAACCTGACTCACATCTGGAAAACACAGAGTATTGGTTGGAACAGGAGAATTAAACTGTGTAGCCAGTACTTTTGTACGGATGTGAAGACTGGAAAATAACAATAAGGAAAGAGAAGAGGCTGGATAGATTCCATTTGACGTGCCTGACAAAGATCCTAAGAGTATGGTGGCCAAAACTTGTTAGAAGGAGTACCATATCTTAAATAACAGGCATGAAAAGATCAGTCATGAGGTCAAAGGGGAAGATGGAACTGGACTGGACATTTGCTCACATTGAAGAGGAGCCAGAACTGCAATGTGGCAATGGAGCTGTGTCAGCGTGTCGAAGCAAAGAGGAAAGTGGGTGACCAAACAAAACACTTGGGTTTTATCAATTTACAGATGTGCTGATGCTTTGCATCATGATGCTGCATAAAACTGGAGTTGCAAGAATTGCCTCTAGTTACCATGCTGTAGTAGACTTGTTGAGACCTGTTCCTCTGACTCATTTCCTCCGTGACTCTCTGCTTTATACTCAACTTGCAGCTTCCTCTTCCTTGCAGCTTACTAGTGTGTTCCAAATCCCTGACTCATCAATCTCATTTTCAGGTGAAATTCTGTTGAGCAATGGATTAAGTGGAAAGTTTGATTTTCATGCATTTGCAATTTATAAAGCAATTAAAAAGGAAGGTGGCTGTATAATTCAAACTTCAATGGGATGCAAACCTGGGATAATGAGCTTCAGTCACTTAGGGAAGCTGGAAACTGAATTGAATTAGAAAGGAAATACTTCTGCATCAAATGAAACAAGACTACCTGAATCAAGAAAAGGTTAGTGTTTTCACTGATAAGCAAAAATTGAAAAAAGACTAGGCTTCAGTGGGATTCAAACACATGACCTTTGTAATAACCTTGTAAGGGTTGTCAAGATCTTTCCATGTATACATTAAGGTTTCAATTATTTCTTTACCATTGAGAGGCTGAAGTTAACTAGAAACAAGAGGATTGAATGGGATTCAAACCCATGAAGGTTTTCAGAGTCCTCAGGAATTCAAAGCCTTAATTCTTTTCTTCTGAAAAATTGGACAATTTGGTTTTGAAAAATTAATATGCAAACATCTTGTGAAACCAGGAAGTGAATTAAGTTATTATTGAGAAGACCTTGTGAAGTGAAGCAAGATATTCACTAAATGGTAAGTATTGGGAAAAACGTCAGTGAATAAAACACTCTGGAAACCATGTAAAGCATAAAAAATGCTTTATGAAAGTATAGAGAGTGATGGAATATTTCTCTAAGCAGGAAGGGGGCCTGTAAAGTTCAGGCTCCTGTGGGATTCAAACCATTGACCTTTGACT